ATTACTTACCTCATAGGAAGGAAATCGCATTTGATATATCTATCCACGAGTAATAATCCGTGAGAAAACAAAAGTCTTGCAAGGTCGTTCTTATCTACACGTGTGATGTGTCACATTATTCACTAGAATTGTCCACGAGTATAAACCGTCAAACAATAGCCAGATCAAACAGTTGAGCAAAAAAATCAAAAAATACCCAACTCCCAAGTGATGTGTCTTATCTACATATGTAGCGGTCCAATAGCTATCCGACAAGTCCAATAGTTCCAAGTGATGTGTTATATTCTATCCGACAAGTTGTGGTGGGTCCGGAAACATGCTTATCAGATAACCCTTCAACTCAGAAGCCGATGGTCTCTTTAACGGATTGTCATCCAACAGCTCTTTCAAGACTTCTTTAGTCTTCTGATTTGCCTCCAGCTCTTTCAGCTCCTCTTCTATCTTCTCAGCTCCTTTTTTTAGATTCTCTAAACGCATAGATCTTTCCATACGCGTGCCACACATAACCAACCATTCGAACAGGATCACCCCAATCGAGTACATATCATATTTCGTGTCCATGGTCATTTGTTCTCCTGGCGGTTTGTACAGTTTTTTCCCTACGCATTTGTCCCGAGCCGCACCGATTGCTCCAGCTGAAAAAAAAAACAAAAAACAAACAAACAAACATGTTAATTTTTATTGTTGATTAGTTACAGGATAAATAAAGGTTATAGAAATTTACCCAATCCAAAGTCTCCTATTTTTACTTTGCCTTCCTCGTCCAGGAAAATATTATCCGGACTTAAGTCTCCATGGACTATTTTCTGCTGGTGTAAGTAAACTAGTCCGTCGAGCATTTGCTCAAACAACTCTTTAGTACTCTTACGAGGCTGAGAAGCAGAACTTATGACATCTTCAAGTGTTTCGCCACACAGTTGAAGCTGTACATAAATGCAGGGAAACTTGGAACCTTTACGGTAGTAGTCGTCTTCACCAGATGAGCCCTTCAATGAATCCTCCACCCATGCTGAATGATAGCGGATGATGTTTGAATGCTCCAACTTTGCGTGTATCTGAACCTCCCTAAAACAAATTCAAAACAACTCTAAATTATAGCGCATGGTCCTAATAAACAATGTACTTGTGAAAAAACAAGTGTCGATACCTTATGAGCGTGTCATAGCTTATGAGCGTGGAATGGTCATTGGGATCATCACATATTGGTATTTTTTTTATGGCATATTGAAAATCATCAACTTTAGACCTGCACAAGGTAACGACACCATATCCGCCACTTCCTGAACGAATAGGAAGCATGTTCGTACTTAGCTTTCAACCATGCAATGACATGACTATTTTCATTTATTCAAAGACAAAAGTTGCCCGCTTTGAGGCACCACATTTAGGATAGATATCCACTAACGCAGATGAATCTTCCAATTATCAAAATTGGCAATTCGAGAACTGCCTTGAATAAGGCTAACCATGGTTCATGAGTCAATATTCTATGATATTAATATCATGTAAACGGGACTAGCATGCAAGAGCATATCTTATAACACAAGTAAAAACAATACCAAGATGTACTCAATTAACACTTCAGACTAACTTGAACTGCACCAGCACGCCTTGTACAAGAACGAGCAGAAAGATACTCTTTTTCACAAACTAAGACTATACTATAAATACAAAAAAAAAAAAAGTAATTGCATATGTTATAACTCAAGTGAAAACAATACTAAGATGGTACCGATTAACACTTAAAGTTATCCTAATAAGGGGGGAATTTTTGAAAATATTTGAGAATGAAACAGAGAGAAAATTTTTAATAACTGTATCCAAAAATAACTTTCAATATTAGCATAAATCTGCAAATAGGATAATAGTAACAAGAATTAAAAGATGAGAAAGAGTAACTTATGAGGAAACTTAAGAAATGTAGAATTTAGATCTAAATCATTAACTTTTCTGCTATTTGATGACAAGAACTAAATATAATCATAAGAAGTTGCCATCATAATAACTAGATAATATGAGTAAGACTTTAAGAAAAGAACTAATGAAACACCTACAAGGGAGACTATTTAAACTCTTACATGAAGAGATTAGTGAAACTCAAGAGAAAAGAATATTACACTGACTAAAGATCTTTGTGAAGTACGATATTAGTTGAAACAAAACAGAGAGAGAGAGAGAGATATAATCATAAGAAGTTGCCATCATAATAACTAGATAATATGAGTAAGACTATAAGAAAAGAACTAATGAAACACCTACAAGGGAGACTATTTAAACTCTTACATGAATAGATTAGTGAAACTCAAGAGAAAAGAATATTACACTGACTAAAGAACTTTGTGAAGTACGATATTAGTTGAAACAAAACAGAGAGAGAGAGAGAGAGAGAAAAATCTAAGAGTAAAGTATAACTATGATACAAGACAAAGAGTAAAGTATAACTATGATACAAGACAAAGAGTAAAGTATAACTATGATACAAGACAGTGACATAGATTATTACATACAGATAAACAGTAAAATGTAATGTGAGTCAATAGGAAAAATCAATCAGGTAAAGCAACAAGCATAAAACCTTCACATAATGCAACAATTGCATAAACTAACTAAAGAAAGACCCACATAAACAAGGATAAACTCAAAGATATTCCAGGGAAAAAAATTGCCATATAGTGAGAAAACATATAAATTACAGAAGAAGCCCCAATCTAGTTACCAAACAAAGAATAATCTATACAAATCACTAAAAAGCATTCACACATTGCTTAATACAAACACTAAATCTATAACGCATTTAGTTATGACGACTTTACTTCCTGGGCCAAACCAACTGCCATCTCTTAACAAACAGTACAGCTGCCTTATATCATCAACATCATCAAGAACAATGAGCATCGTTTTATTGTGGAGCCTATTTCTCACAAAGCTGTTGACTAGACTTTCTAGATCTCTTTCCTCCAGTAGATTTGAAAAAAGCTTGGCTCCTAGATAAGGCAGTCCATGGTTTTTTGAATTTTCCCTAACATTCTCAAAAAAGCAGCAATTTTCAAATCGATACGCAATAGTAGTCTTGCCGATATCACCAAGCGCCCAAAGGCCTATGACACGAGGATTTGGTAATCCAAAGCATAACAGGGATTCAATTTCCTCAAGTTGTTGATCTATTCCAACAAGGCCCTTTGTATTAATACTAATTTGTGGCAGTCATTTTAATTTCCTCAATACATTTTTCAGAATCTTCTCAATTAATTCTGACTCATACCTAGTATAAATAGAAGAGAAATAAATTAATTCAAAAGAAGCATCTTACAAAATTAACAAAGAAAAATCATGACAAATGAAGCATCTACATCTCCATCTAGTGAAACTTTCTAATTAAGACGTTTTTTGTTTTTTTTTTTTTTTTTCCAAATTACATTCCGGAACCGTACAGAATCACTTCCGATCAAGGAAGATCGGAGATAATGCGAGCGAAAAAAAAAAAAAAGGAAGATCGGAGATATCACGCAGTACCAAACAAGATTTCAACACAACTTTCGAGATGGGAGGTTCGTTGAACTCGTCGATTGAGAGGTAATGTAGCATATTTTCCGTAGGCAGAAGAGAAACAAAATTGATGCGATGAAAGATAAACCACCACAAAGGTTATAAGAAACGCTAGCAAACGATTCAAATATGGAAGAATGTGGATAGAATCTATTACCGAGGCGGTCTCCCTCGTCAAATTCAGTGAGAAATCTGGAGGATGGATCAATCACCAGTATCTCCATGCCAGATGTAGGGCAAATCAGTGTAGTTAGACCACCCGCCATAGCTGTCAAGAAAGGGAAAGCAAGAGAAAATTCAGAAATGAAGGAGAAAAAAAGGCGGTAACACCATAGCTGAGAATTGACGAACCTTTCTTGTTCGTCTTCTTCTTCTCGATCCTTCCTTCTTCTTCAGCAGAAAGAGTTTTGGGCGGGAAATTCAGTTGATGAAGGCTATTACGAAAACAAAAGACAAGAAAAGAATGGAAATGAATATTCTCATTCATCAGAAAATAATTTATATACAAACTAAGTAACAAACTTGCTGAGTAAGTTTTACAAACTAATTAGCTTGCTGAGTAAATTTAACAAACTAACAAACTAATTAGTTTTGGGCGGGAAATTCAGTTGATGAAGGTGGTATCATTTTGAGTGGTATTTTTTATTTTTTTTCTTAATTATTTCTTCGAAGTGGCGCACTCTAGACTGCATGTTTTCGTTGGGCTTGGGCACAGGCTTCCCCAACTTGAGCTTCAGAAAGTTTGTTGTATTGTGTGTTTTGTGTTTACATTCTAAGAGCTATACTGGGCCCAGGGTGGGTAGCTGCCCTTCCCCAACACTCCCGGCCCAATGACTTCTTCTATCCTTGTCCCCAAACGAACTTTTTTCACAATTTGCTTTACTACTTTCCCCCCTAAACTCTTGAAAATACCAATGCTAATCTTGAATTTTATAAAACATTTCAGTTATGCCCCCAAATTTTTCCTTTTAAATATATTCACATCAAACTTAAAACCCCAAACAAAACAATTAAACTATACTACTACATGAACGCTTAATTTTTGGGTTTTTAACTTTTAAAAAGTGAATTATATTCTATTCCAAGGTTAATTCAAAAGAGACAAATCAAATTTCAGATTTACTACACCGTCATTAATGAAATTTCAGTTGTGTTCCAATCTCCAGCTCCACCAACTGTTGGGTAGAGTAGAAGGGGGTAACAGTAGAGTTTGTCAAAAAACAATTATTGAGTAATCATTGTTTCCAAAACTAAACGAATAAACAGCTCTTGAGAGCAAAGTTCTGACGTTCTTATAACATTCTTGAAATAACCACGTTGAGTTTTGAGGTCTATCACCTGGTCAAATAAATGTCACATGAAAAATGTCTGAAATTAATTATAAGATATTAGCTTTAGTGAGATTATTTCTCACACTATCTCTCTTTAATCATAGTTGTAATTAATTAGTAAAACAACATTATATTTATGATTTCCGGTCTGTAAATATATGGTGGATTGTATGGCAACTTTGCATATTCAGATCTCCTACAAGTAATTCATAATTTTTAACTATCATATTTTCATCATCACTCGTTAAATTATCATACTTTATTTAATATGATATGATTATGATTTGATTTGATTGTTCAAAAATTGTACTTAGTTTTAAGAGCTTGGATAGTTCTTTGTTGTGCAATTTTAGGAATGGTGTGATATTGTCAAAGCATGCACTGGAGTTTGTCCCTTCAAATGCTCTCGCGGCGTGTGGTGCACAGCCTAGAGGCACTACGGTATGGAACCCAAATTTCCGTCCTCCAATCTCATATATTTCCTAACACAAGTCATTAAAAAAATGAATATAAAAGTTTCTTAACATGTATAAGGATTTAAATTTAAGGTTAACTATCGGTTCAAATCAAGTTTAATTTTTAACTTTCATGCATGTCAGATTAAATAAAATAATTTTTTTAATTTGGCCCTTAAGTTTTTAACAATTCAGCCCCCGACCTTTTTTTTTTTGTTAAATGAACCTGAATTCTTAAATATGGTGCAAAAAGGCAAAAAAATGGTAACATCCATCCAATTTTGAACGGAACGGATCACTAGCATAATAATTTATCTTTAAATAAAAAATAACAGTTTAAAAAAATTGATGAAAATCTGACACTTAAAAAAATTGTCTTATCTGTTTGGTATTTTTACATACCTTATCAATGAATTCTCCCAATCAAAATAACAAAACATACATTTATACAACACAATTTAATGAAAATCTCAAAATGTAGAGCTTTTTAGAAGCTGTTTAGTTTAGTATTTAAGTTTTTAATTTAAATTTAAATGTGATTTTATATAAAAAAATGTTACTGTAATAAAAAAATTAAATATAATTATTTTTAAAATTTTTTTATTATAATAAAATTTAAATCGGTGAAATGATCAATAATTTGAATTAAAATTACAAATGTTTGAAGACTTTTTCACTTTTGACCACAAAATTTTTTTGATGTTCTAAAGCGATAGGCGAGCACTAGTCAATATAAGCTCACTGATGACGCAGAAAAACAATCGACTAAACTAGTGCCGATTCATTTGACTGCTTCTCAACATATCTCTGGCGGATCAATGAAAACGAAAAAGCTTTTGTCTACATCCCATCCCTTTTGTCCTTTTGTGGATTTTTGTCGTTTTCTTTTATTTTGTCATCCATCTCTTTTGTTGTGGTTTTATTGTTAGTTTGTTGCTGGTTTTTGACATGGTATGGAAAGCAAATTTTCCTCTTCCAAGTTCCAATCTTATATATTTCTTAGGACGACTAATAATCTAAGGAAAATGTTTGAAATCTGTATCATATATATTTTTACCTGGTCAGTTATATGTTACCCATCACCCAACACTACGAATTGTCGGCAGTGGCGGAGCCACTCATATGTTTGAGTTTGAAATTTTAATTTTTAAAATTAATGACCCCATTTATTTCACTTATACGAGTTTAAAATTCGAGTTTTTTTACAGTAAAAAGTTCTTAAAAACAGTCGCATCTAACTTTTTTACTACATTAAAAAACTCTCACAAAAAGTCACATCTGAACTCGAATCATTGAACTAAACGAATCTAAAATATTTACTGTCCCCGATATCATGAGAAAATTCATTTTGTGCTCCCATTTAATAATTGAAAATTTTAAATATATCCCTGTTCAATAAAAGTTTCTCTTTTTTTATAGTGTCCACTGAAAAAAGATTTTGGCCTAAGATACTATGCAATAAGGATATGATTCTCTATATTAAACATTAAAAATGATCCTTTGTCAATTTTAATGTCAAGAACTAGAATTGCAAAAAACAAAAAAAAAACAAAAAAAAAAAGAAAGAGTTTATGGTCAACTTAATTAATTTATCTCATAGTTAAAAATTGTAGCCAACTTTATTTACTTTCTCAATTCAAGCCAAGGTATTCTTTCATGCATTTAAATTAGTAAGCTGATCATAAGCTTCATTATTTATGAAAAATTACTAACACGTGCAATATAAAATTTTAGTTAAGCTGCAAATAATGCCTTGAAATTGTATGACCCTGTGACACTGAGCTTTCCACTCCATGCTAACTTGGCAAATTGTTGGTTGGCCTTTTCTGTGGGATGACCAGAGTCAAAGAAGACGTAATCGCTAACATTATCACACAGTTCATACTCTTCCCATCCACAACTTGAAGTTCCTCTGTATGGACCACTGCCACAGCATGCCACTTTTGCTTCTTTGAAACCTTAGTTTTCAACATAGAAGACACATAACTCTGTCACATTTGGATAATTTTAAAAATAAAAAAAATAAAAAAATAGCTCTAGAAAAGTGAGAATTATGTGAAAATACCAAATTTGGAAGGGTTGTCTATTATTTCTAAAAAAAATGAGTAGAAATCCAAAAGAGAGTATTTGAATTCTTGGAGCTCGATCTGCAACTTTTTTAAGAGCTTGAGGAGTTCTGAGTTGTGCAACTGTACAAATGGTAAGATTTTCTCATTGCATGCGCCGGCTTTTGTCCCTTCAAATGCTCTCGCGTATGGTGCACAGCCCAGATGCCCCACGGTTTGGAACCCAAATTTCCTTCCTCCAATCTCATATATTTCCTGGCACACGTATAATGAGCATAAAGTCCAATAACATGTGTAGGGATTAACCCGTTCACTTCGCTGATTCGAGTTTAGAATTTGAGTTGAGATGTGACTTTATGTGAGAGCTTTTTACTGTAGCAAAAAAGTTAGATGTGATTGTTTGTGAGAGCTTTTTACTGTAGAAAAACTCGAATCAGCGAAGTGAACGGGACCTAAGAAACACCTCACACCATATGATGCTTGAGATTAATACGAAAGAAGAATTCTAAGATAGGGATTAAAAAATAATATACGCAGTACATAATTTTTGACTGTCAATTTAAATCATGTACAACTTTTAACCATTAAGTCAAATTAGAATCACATCACATCAAATAAAATATGACAATAGAAAATTTGATGAAGATCTAACAGTTAAAACCCATATATCTCTATTATTTTTTTGAAACTTGTCACAAAAATCTCATATAAATAAAGATACATTGTATGTTTATTTCGCAACTTAAATTAAAATTTTAAGTTATATATATGAGAGAAAAACACTATAATGAATCAATTGAATTTAAACTTTTTATAACACTATAACACTAAAATTTAATTTGTGATTTAAATTGGGAAAAGAATAAGATGATGGTACCTGAATCACTTCAGTTATATTGCCAATCACCAGTCCAACCAACTGTTGGTCAGAGTAGGGAAGGACGGTAGAGTTTGTCTGTTCATAAGCAGCTACCGAGTAATCATTGTTTCCAATACTAAATGAGTAAACAGCTTTTGAAATCAGAGCTTCGGCCTTCTTATCCCCAAGTTTCTTCCTCAGCACTCGGTTAACATTCTTGAAATATCCAAGTTGAGTTTTAAGGTCTATCACCTGAAATAAATATAAAAAAACAAAAAAAAAATATGTTTCACCGTCATAAGGTGAAGCTCTTTACGGTATATCATTAAATGTGTTTCTTAACTCACATTAAAATATGCAAAAATGACAAATTCTAATGTATATTTGACGTTTTAAAACAAAAAACTTAAAGAGTAAGGTATTTTTCTCATACCAACCGTGAAAATCTAATCATAAGATATTCAAGTCATTATTTCTGCATAATCACAACTTTAGTGCGATTATTTTCACACAAAACTATATTACATACATATCCTCTGTAAGTTTCGACCAGAGCACCAGCTCCAGCAGAACCAAAGTTCACCCCATAACTATATTCATGATTTCCAGGTTGTAAATACGGTAGAATGAATGGCAACTTCGCATATTCAGCTGCAATATTAATAAAAGATTTATAAAAAAGTAAGACCTTAATTAATAATGGTGTGATAATATAGGGATACTTAAAAGTAATTAAATTAATCTTACCGAAAAAATCTGGGATGAGTCGACCATCGGAAAATCTGCCAGTTGGGTGCTTAAAGAAGGTTTCACCATATGGATAAAAATTAGCCCGAGCAGTAGTGTTGATGTAGTTATTGTTTCCGGAATCAAAAAGTGAATCTCCAAAGATGAACAAGCTTGTTGGGTGATCAATATGATCGTAACACTTTGTCGGATCAACGAGGCTAATTATAGTTATACAGAAAAATATAAAGACAAAGCGTGATTTCTCCATGAGTGATCTCTTTCAATTTGTTTGATGTCGAGGGAATAATATATATATGGAAGAGAAGAAAATTAATAGCATCAAGGCATTTCTTGATCTGATCTCAATTGACTTTTAGAAAAATTAAAGGCCGTTTCTACAATTGAATATTCAACATCCCTTGATAATAACAGATTATATAGAAAAAGAATTACTCTCATAAATGCCCTCTTAATTATGTATCTTATTTCAAAATGATCCCTGACTTTATAAAATAGGTTAAAATGCCCTTCAATCTAAAAAAAAAAAAAAA